CTTAATAATGAGGGTAGTTGTTAACAGACTTGTTCTTTGTGGTGAGCCATTTTTTTGCTTTGTTTAATTGCAATGGGTAGTTGGCGATGGATAAGCATGAGCAGATTTTTTTTCATGCTCATATCTTGAGTCTTCTGGAGACATGTAGACTATTGTAGAATGATTGAGTAGCTTGTAGAGAATTGGGGATTAGATAGTTTCACACCCCCTCTTAATCCGCAATTCGCAGTTGCTCTTTGAACTTCTCGAACTTCTCTTGGGTGACTGATTTCGTCATGATGTCCGCTGGCTGATCGTTGGTGTTGATAAACTCCATTGCAATTTCTCCATTACTGACAAGGTCTCGTATGTAGTGATGTCGTAGCTCAATGTGTTTCGACCTTGCATGAAATACTGGGTTCTTCGTCATTGCTATTGCTGACATATTGTCGCAATGGATTATGGTAGGATCATCATCTCCCTGTTGTAGATCAGAGATTAATCTCCTCAACCAGACTGCTTCGCAAGCTGCATCTGTAGCTGCGATATACTCAGCTTCTGCTGATGATAGTGTGACGGTCTTCTGTTTCTTCGAACTCCATGAAATTGGTTTTGAACCAAGGCAGAAAATATATCCTGATGTGCTTTTGCGATCATCAAGTGATCCGGCCCAGTCGCTGTCGGTATATCCTGTCAGCTTATTATCTGCTTCCTTTTGATATTTCAGACCTAATTTTCTAGTGCCTTGAAGATACCTTAAGATTCTCTTTGCTGCTGCATAGTGAAGTTTACTTGGCTCGTTCATGAACCTTGATATGAGACTTACTGCATGACAAATGTCAGGCCTTGTGTGAGTCAAGTAAATAAGCGATCCGACTAGGCTTCTGTATAATTTACCATCGACTTTTTCAGCTCCGTCATTCAACTGTAATTTCTCGTTCAACGCCATCGGGGTTGATATTGGCTTGCAATTTGCCATATGGAACCTTTTCAGCATGTCTTCGACATACTTCTCCTGTGAGATGAATATTTCTCCAGGTTTTTGCTTCACTTGGATTCCCAGGAAATATTTCATTAGTCCCGGGTTCGTCATTTCGAACTCCTTCATCATCGCTCTTTTGAACTCCTCGATCATCTTCGAGCTTGTGCTTGTATAGATTAGATCATCAACATATAGGCAGACAATTAAAAAATCCTTGCTTTCTCCTTTCTTGATGTAGAGCGATGCTTCATTTGGACTTCTTTGAAATCCTTCTTGCTGAAAGTAGCAATCAATCCTGCTATTCCATGCTCGAGGTGCTTGTTTAAGTCCATATAGCGCCTTTCGGAGTCGGTAGACTTTATCTTCTTCTCCTTTCTTCTCGTATCCCTGTGGTTGCTCCACATACACTTCTTCTTCGAGTTCTCCATTTAGGAATGCCGATTTGACATCTAACTGGAATATTGGTAACTCCAGTTGTGCTGCTAAGGCAAGAACAGTTCTGATGGTTTCCATCCTGGCCACTGGTGCATATGTCTCGTGAAAATCTATGCCAGGCTGTTGTGTATAGCCTTTTGCCACCAGTCTCGCCTTATTCTTCTGGATTGATCCGTCCTCGTTGAACTTGGTCTTGTAGATCCATTTTAGACCTACTACTGGCTTGTCTTTTGGCTTGTCCACGAGCTCCCATGTTTTGTTCTTCTCGATCATCAAGATTTCTGCATCCATAACCTTCGTCCAGACTTCTTCTTTCAAAGCTTCTTCAAAATATTGCGGCTCACAAGAAAAATAAGCTATGTGACCAGCATCATAAATATCTTGTAAAGACCTTATCTTTCTTGGAGGTGTATCTGAGTCTGTGACGACATCTCTGAAGTCATCTTCTGGTGGACTGCCACTTGGACTTGAGGGTGGATCTCCTTTGTTGTTATCGGCATCTTCTGAAGTAGTTTCCTCCAAAATTTCATATATTGGTGGAGATTGTGATGTTTCCTGCTCCCAGCACCATTCTGACATTTCGTCGAAGATAACATCTCTTGAGATCACCGTTTCATTTTTCACAGGATTATAGAGTCGATATCCCTTGGATTCATCACTATATCCAGTGAATATTAGCTTCTCTCCCTTTTGATCGAATTTATCTCGATTAGGGGTAGAGATATGAGCATAGGCTATGCAACCGAAAACTTTAAGTTGATTAACTTCCGGCTTTCGGTGATGCCATGCATCATATGGTGTCTTGTTATGGACTGCCTTAGTCGGTGATCTGTTGAGGATATAGATAGCTGTGTTGACAGCTTCTGCCCAGAACTTGGTGGGTAGCTTCTTTCCTTTTAGCATGCTTCTAGCCATCTCCACGATAGTGCGGTTCTTTCGCTCTGCCACACCATTTTGTTGTGGTGTGTATCGAACTGTCAACTGCCTCTTGATGCCATTTTTGCGACAATACTCCATGAATGGTTTGTAGATGAATTCTCCCCCACGATCTGTGCGGAGTGTCTTGATTGGTCGACTGCATTCTTTTTCCGCTGCTGCTTTGAACTGAAGGAACTTGGAGAATGCTTCTGATTTCTGCTCCAGGAAAAATATCCACATCATCCTTGTATAATCATCAACAAACAGTAAGAAGTATCTTTTACCGCTTATTGATGGCGTTCTTGTTGGCCCGCAAATATCTGCATGAACTAGCTCCAGCGGTGCTCTTGCTCTCCAAGCAGTCTTCGGGAAAGGCAGGCGATGCATTTTTCCATAAATACATCCTTCGCATATTTTGATATCTCTGTTGATGTTGGGTAGTCCGGTCACCATCCTCTTCTGCTTCAACAAGTTTAGGCCTTTGAAATTCAAGTGGCCATATCTTAGGTGCCATAGGAAGGAATCATCCATCCTTTGGGCTTTCAATGCTACACCTGCACTTCTTGAAAGTGCTAAGGGAAATATTCTACTGGAAGACATAGGTATTTTGGCGATAGTAAGACCATTGTTCTTGTTGATGATCTCACATGCGCCGTTGTCAAATAATAGCTTGAATTTTTTTAGCATCAGTTGGCCAACACTGAGGAGATTTTGCTTCAAATTAGGAACATATAGAACTTCTTGAATTTGAGTTTTGTTACCTGCCTCAGAGTTTACGACCACTGTGCCAATTCCTTTGACTTCCAGTATAGTCCCGTCTCCAATCTTTACTTGAGAGCGATAATTGTCGTCTATCTCAGTGAAGGACTCCCTTTCTCCTGTCATATGACTACTGCAGCCACTGTCTACCATCCATGGAAGTTGTAAATTTCTATCATCTTTGAGGCATGAGAGTGATACCTGAGAAATTTCCTCAGTTTGAGTGAAACTGGCTTCTCCATCTTCTTTCTTCTTTTGGAACCAACAATCCCTTTGGGAGTGATTCTGATTTCTGCACTTCTTGCATTTAAACTTGCAGTCTCTTGTCGTGTGTCCCGACTTCTTGCATATTATGCAGTATGGGCTACTGTTGCCATCAGATTTTTGTTGTTGGTCCCTCCTGTTGCTTCCTCTAAAATTTGATTTTCCTCCTCTCCTTTGGAAGTTGCCCCCTCTGCGGTCCTGCTCCGGTTTTGTAATTTTGCTTTCAGCCATGTTAACTCTTGACTGAAAGGCTTGTTCCTGTGGTTGTTGATCAGTAAATCGCCTCATCCTCTGCTCATGAGCAATGAGTGATCCCATCAACTCAGTCATTGGTAATTTAGACAAATCTTTTGTCTCTTCAATGACTGCCACGACATGCTCAAATTTCTGGGACAAACTGCGAAGAACTCTCTCCACAATTTTCTTTTCCTCGATAGTGTCACCAGTTGCTTTTATTTGGTTAACTATCTCGGCTGTACGAGAATGAAAGTCTTTGATACTTTCAGTCTCTTTCATCGACAAATTGTCGAAGTCCCGCCATAAATTTTGGCGTTTGATGGAGATTGCCCGTTCATTGCCTTGAAATTCATTTCGCAAAACTTCCCACGCCTTTTTAGCATTTTTAATGCCAAAAATTCGAGGATATATGGTTTTGCTTATCGCCTGTTGGATTATCCGCAAGGCGTTGGCATTTTTACGGACATTCTCCTTGTATTGCTTCAGCTCATATTCTGAAGCTTTGCTAGAGTCTCTCTCCGTCAGAACTTCCTCATAACCTTCTTGAATGATATCCCACAAGTCTTTAGCAACGAAGATGGTCTCCATTTGTTCGCTCCAAAACTCGTAGGATTCACCCTCGAAGATGGGAATCTGACTAGGAGTATTCACGAACATGGTGTTCGCTTGAGCTGCCATGATATTTGGGGATTTTTATGGGTGATGATTTGGGGATGGTTTAGGAGGATAGGAAAAATGGTATAAGCTCTTATACCAAATTTGTTGGGCACTAGCGGAAATGTAATGGGTTTAGGATCGAAAATTTAGAGGAATTGGATTTTATTTCACTCAAACTATTTTTGCAAACACTTGGCAATTATTGCCCGATACAAGAGACTCTCAAATTTGCTCACCCACTCACTCTCTACTACTTTGCTTCTTGCTCTTTCTCTGATCCATTACAAGCTTAACAAGGTCTCTATTTATACTACTCCACAACCGCCTTAGAGAAACTTCTAGGTAGCTTAATAATGAGGGTAGTTGTTAACAGACTTGTTCTTTGTGGTGAGCCATTTTTTTTGATTTGTTTAATTGCAATGGGTAGTTGGCGATGGATAAGCATGAGCAGATTTTTTTTCATGCACATATCTTGAGTCTTCTGGAGACATGTAGACTATTGTAGAATGATTGAGTAGCTTGTAGAGAATTGGGGATTAGATAGTTTCACAATACTCGATTGCAAGAGGGATATATGGAAGAGCCAGGAGCTCTTCGAGCTCGTGGAGGAGTACTTCGACAACAACCTCCACACCTTGGATTTCTGCGCCGCACTCGAGAAGTCGCTGAAGAAAGCCAGAGATAACCAGCTTCTCCTCCTCGTCGCGCTCCAGCAGTTCTACGAGCAATTGTCGTCGTCGAAATCGGAATCGGGAGAATCGGGATCCAAGGCTTCGTACAAGAGGACGCTGGAGGAGCTGAGGAATTTCAAGGAAGCAGGGGATCCTTTCACGGAGGAGTTCTATACTCGGTTTCTGAACGTCCACAAGCAGCAGATCCAGATGCTGGAGAAGCTGCAGAGCAAGAAGCGGAAGCTGGGCAAGAAATTGAAGTCGATCCACTCGTGGAGGAAGCTGTCGAGCATAATCTTCGTCGCCAGCTTCGCGGCGGTGCTGATCTGTTCCATCGTGGCGGCGGCGATGGCAGCTCCTCCCGTGGCCGCCGCGCTGGCGGCGGCGCGTCGATCCCCCTGGGGTCGATGGGGAAGTGGATCGATTCGCTGTGGCGGAACTACGAGAGCGCGGTGAAGCGGCAGAAGGAGCTCGTCGGGACAATGCAGGTCGGGAGCTATGTCGCGATTAGGGATCTGGAGACAATCCGCGTGATGGTGGACCGGCTGGAGGTGGAGATGGCGGCCTTGGACAAGGCGGCGGAGTTTGCTACTCAGGAGGACGGCGGCGACGCGGCGGTGAAGATTGGGATCGAGGAGATCAGGAAGAAGCTCGGCGGGTTCATGAGGAATGTGGAGGAGTTGGGGGTTCAGGCTGACGTGTGCAGCCGGGATATTCGGTGGGCGAGGACTGTTGTTCTTCAGCGGATCATTAAGCAACCGAATTAAATTGATTAATCAGGGGATTAACGGGTTGATTATGGCAACTGTGTAGCTTTGTTTATAGTTTGTTATTATAGACCTGGTTGGGTTTTTCTTTGATTCTTTGACGACTTGACTTATTGTAGTAAGATGGTTTGAATTTAATCATTGATTATTGAAAAAAACATGTTTCTGCCTCTTTTCTGTTAGAACTTTTCTATATCAGAGAACAACAAACAAAAACCGTGTTACTTGCAATTGAAAACACAAAGTTTTATTTTTATTTTTATTTTTTAATAGTTGTAAAATGAGGTGGAAATTGTAAATATTTAAATTTTTTTATTTTTTTATTTTTTTATTGGCCACGTCACTCATTTAACGGTCAACTATAATAGTTGACTGCCACATCAGCAAAAACTAACAGAGACTAACGGAGAGTGACCAAACTTGAACTATTGAACTAATCTTAGTGACCATGAATGGAATTAAATATTTGCAGTGACCAAACATGAACGGTTTTAGTAAACCCAGTGACCATTCTTGCAATTAACCCAATTCATATGAGTACTAAGATACCATTATGTGAATTTTATGTGATAATGAATCTAAAACTCGGAGACAACCCTAAGGGGTTTTAAATTTTAATATGGTTTAGTGCATACATATTAAAGATTGAGGAATACTAGAGACATAGGTTTCCAGAACTATAAAGTGATCCGAAGAGTTTATGGATATTGTGTAATGAGATGTTGGGTGTCTGGAAGGATTCAAATGGTAGATTGAGAATCATAATTACATTTCTTTTCTAAGGAAGACAAACTAAGGAGGGAAGTGATATCGAGGGTAAAAGTGTGAGGAATAACCAATGCATGAATGCTGAATACCCAAATTATTCAAGTTAAATTTCGAGGCCGACAGTTTTTTTAGAGGGGAGGAATTGTCACACCATTTTTCGTTCGAGTTGGTCAATATGTGTGAGGACTAATTTAAGAGCTATATTTGTTACCATTAACTGATAATGTAAATGAAACACGAATATTAAAAAGGTTTAAAAGATGAAAACTTCTCCGATGAAGGTAGTGGTATTACATTATGAAACTTGATTAGTCTCAACTTGGTTTTTTTTATCACCCCATGCAGAGGAAGCCACAAGATGTCCCTTTGTTCTAACCAAATAACTTGTGGATTTTTCCCAACCGAATAAAAGAGAGAGGGTAGGGTGGGAGAGATTTGTTTCTTTCCTTCACCTACAAATCAACTCAGAAACTGCCCAAGGCCTTCTTCTTGGGACAAAAGAAGCAGCTTGGCGAGTATAAGGGCTAATACAGGGTCAGCTAATACCTACGTAATTGATCTTTTGCTATTAGTAGTGTTTGAGAGTTTTGGTGAGGGGAGAGGAATCAACATTGGAATAATTATAACTGGTTGCTAGTTAAGTTTCATGGATGCCCTTTCGTGAGGATAGTGATGGGCTTCAGGACTTTTGCATGTTGATTATTAGGTGGTTTAGTTTTTTTATTTAAGGGATCCAATTATTGTCTCTTTAATCTGCATGAAATATAGTTACTTCACAAACTTAAATATATAAGTATGTACAGACGTGGACTTAATAGAAGAAGGGGGAATAAAAGTCAAAGTAGGGAGTGATACACTGATTGATCAGGGAACTGTTATGTGAAGGTTGATGTGTTTTATATGTTATATGAAGGTATATGAGGTACATTTTGTGATAATCTCCTATGACGAGTGATACACTGATTGATCAGGGAACTATGTTGTAAGCAGTTATGATATGTTGATTTAATTATGATACTGCCATGAGACACTAATGTGTATAATGTTATGTGTATATAACACATCCCATGATGCAGTGTTAATAGAAGTGCATAGATATGATGGAAAATTCCGTATGGTGTATGAGAATAAATATGAACTATTTGCAACACCAGGTAGGGTAAAGTAAAGGTGAAACCCTAAACGAATCATGTATGACATATAACGTATATGTGAAAGGTTGAATGGACGAGGGAAGAAATTTTGTGTAAATCTACATAGGTGAGACATAGGTAAAGTTATCAAGTTATTAATATGCACCGAATCTAATGGATAGAAGACACTCCGAGTCACAACATAGCATGATATCATTTCGTATTAATATTTATATTAGGTTATTATTTACTCATTGAGTGACGTCTCACCCCCGTAAATATTTTTCCATCGCAGGACTAGAACGACATCAATAGAGCGTGACAGATGAGTACTATCGGCCAAATGGCTAAAAGGTGGGCGGTGAAACTAAACTCTCCACAAATCTTTCAATTAAGAGTTAGGGAACAAGTAAAATTTTTGCAAGCTAAGGCTTAAAACAATACTGGTTTTTAATACAACTTCATTTTTCAATTCACTTCATGTAAAGATTGTAGGTAAACCAAGCCTAAATTGGTCAAGGGAAATATTAGGAGCATGAATACATGGTAATCCACTTTCCAAAAGAGTAACACTAGAGTAAGCCACTGGAAGATCCCAAAACCACTGTCCCACGGGCATGAAGTGGGAGGAAATGTAAGGATAGGTCCAAACCATTACGGATGCATTTGACTTGAACCGCACTGCCTGAAGAAGATCAACTCTGATTCCGTATCAATCCCTTACAGAATGAAGCGCCTCTTGAAATATGGATTATCTCGGATATAGGAAAGCCAGAGCAGCAAAAAGACATGCACCGAAACACATCACGGAAAGGAATGCGAATCAAAACCTCTTCCAGTAGATGGTGAGACGCAAGAAGGTCACTAATACATAATGGTGCTGACGATTCATCCCTAGCCATAGAAGCTTCGCTCAGTTCTCCCGCTGGAAAATTCGAGACGAACCCAGTTCAGTACCAATAACCTCGTCTGCGACCACAAACAAGAACCCCCAACGGCCGACATGTAACTTATCTACAACGCGCTCTTGTCAATGTCTTCATCGAGAGGACGGTGGAGGTAGAGGTCGATGTTTTTCGTCAAAAGTCGGATGGAAGGAAATTTGGTCTGCTTAAGCTGTGAGAGCTTGCTGACGGAGGACAACGAGATCTCTGATCATGTGAGGAGCAGAGCGGAGCGGACAAAATACGACGAAGGTTCTCTCCGTTGGGACTTCTGTTTTACGATTCGAGAAGCCAGCCTTAACAGTTTACTACTGCAAGGCTGGGCCGGGCCGCCGAGGTGTGGCTTGGGCCCTAGGGTCAGGTGCGCTGGACTAAAAACTGGGTTGGTGACCAAATTATGATTTTGGGTCATCTCTTTGACAGGTTCGACTATCTTACTTGGTTATCTAGTGTATCGATTTCCTCCTGTACAAACATCGGATCTTTGCTCTTTCTCATTAATCATGAGATCTATTGGAAGAAGAAAAAAAATATGGTTTTGGCACTGGGTTTCTTTCAATGGGATTTAGGTTGGTTCGGTTTCCCCGGAACTATTTCAGGTATGTAAAGGACTTATGTAGGGGAACAGATAAAATAACAACAACCCTTTTGTTGTTACTGTAACAACATGATTCATTAAGGGCATAAGGGTAAACTTACACATAATCTAATAAAATAAAAATTAAATTAAAATATCTCAATTCCTAGATCACTCTCGATCTCCTCCCCTACCTTTCCCGACCGCTTCTCCTCAGTCCTATCTTCTATCGCCGCCGAGAACGTGGCCTCCGACAATTGAGGCGTCGATCCTTCTCCTCCAATCTCAGGCAAGCAGTGCTCCTCAATCCGCCACTATCCTGGACGAATTCGACGGCATCGAGATCATCTGGAAATTGAGTTTGTGATTCAAATTTTGAGATCATCTCCGGACGCCTAGCAATTGAGTTTGTGATTCGAATTTCTATATTCCTCCATTTTCCTCCGATTCAATTGTGTTGCGTTCGCGGCAACGGTGGCAGATTGTGTTCGCGCCGACGGTGGCGGCAGAAGTGGTGATGAGGAACTCGCTGTTGGGGAAAGTTGGATCTAGGTGGGGAACTCTGTGTCGCTCTCGCCGTTACCTCCTTTGCTGCTGCACTTCACCTCAACGAGATCTTCTCTGTTCTCCTGATCTCGTACGCATGGTGGAGGCCTTGTGTGCATGGTGGAGACGAAGCATGTTATTCAGCTGGGGACATCATGGGTTTAGAGTTTTAATTATTTGAACCAGGGACCTACTGCAGCTCTAAAACATGTCTCTTTGTTCTCTTCTAGCTCTATTATTCCAGCTCAATTATATGTCTTGATTTGCGCAGCTCTTTTCTCATTCGTTCTCTTCTAGCTCTATTCCAGCTCGATTATATGTCTTGATTTGCCATTTATTTTGATTGATTATTGCCGATGATTCCAGTGATATGAGATTTATGTTGAATGTTTGATTGTTTTCAGTGAGATTTTTGAATGTCGACATTGAAGGATTTACCTTCCTTTCGTTTTCAAAAAGAAGATAGAATTTCTAATGCTTACCATTAACCTCCTATGTATACCACAAATCGTCTAAAACATACGATAAATCCCACAAAGTACACCACAATATTTCATAAGCACACCAAAAATCTGCTAATACAAACTAGAAACGATGTAAAGCAAACCAGAAACATCCTAATGCAGACCACAAATCTCGTAAAACATACCAACAACCCCACAAAACAAACCACGAAATTTTTGAAAGCCCACCAGAAACCTCATAATGCAAACCACAAACACCGTAAAGAAAATCACAAAAAGCAAACCAGAAATCCTAATGCAGACTACAAATCTATTAAAACAAACCAGAAACACCTCAAAACACACCACAAATTTTTTTAAAGCACACCAGAAACTTCTTAATGCAAACCAGTAACACGATAAGACAAATTACAAATAGCATACAAAAAACACGAGAAACCAAACCATAAATCTCACAATGCAGACCATAATATACGGTGGTCATTGACCAAACTCCGATGACCGTGGGTGACCGGATTCCTGCACCGATAAACATATTCCCCCTCGATGAGTAGATTTTGACGCCAGT